TTTCATGTAGGTAAAACATCCTTATAACCAGGCTGCTCATAACAAGACTTGTATTGAAGCACAATCTATGCAGAGATTTATATCCGGAATATTTTTGTTTCTATAATACTTTAAAATACTTAATGTTTGTCAAAAGCTCATCTGATGGTACTGGGGTGAACTATATTTGTCCTATTTGTTTGGTTCTGTACAATGGGCCTATGTCACATAGGTGACTTTTGTACAAGAGGGCGAATCTTTACATCTCTAGTGTAAGTCCATGATTCTTGTCACATAGCTACCAGCAAATGTTCATACAGAAAGTGTGCTAAATCCTTCACTCTTGGTATTCACATAGCTAGCTTGGTGAAGACCAGCTTCAAGAGATAACAATGCATCACAACAGTCTGTAGTCAGCATACGTCATGTATATACACCATGCTGAAGTCTTGACCCCTTGGATATTAAAGCAACCAAAATTGATTGAGGATTTGTTGATTGTAATTAGTAGATTGTAATTGCATATAAATGTCAAAGCAGGTTGCATCTTGCTTGAAGACAAGTTACCTTGCTATCATTCTGTTGTATTATCTTGGGATAGATTTGGCTGGGTTAGGAAAAAACAACAGTAAAATTTATTTGATTAACAGTATATTATATTTAAAAAAGTATTGTATAACTGATTGCCAATACTGTGTGGTGTCTGAATAACTGATTGCCAATACTATGCAATGTGTGGACAAGTAAGCCCAATGTTAGTTTATGCAATAGTGAAGACCTTAGAAGTTGCAGACAGTTTGTCTCAATGTGGACATAAGTTCAGTATTGGTGCATATAGATCTACAACAATTCCGACAAATTCTGCAACAACACACACCAAAGGAATCAATTTTAGATTCATTAGTATTTACAACTTTCACAAACATTGGATAAGTTGGAAGCACATAATACTTTGGAAGTCAGTACATCAGGTCTGCCTCTTTTCAAATCCTTCAAACTTCTAATAGTTTGGATCCCCTCCCACTTCGTGTTTCTGCAACCAAGTCATGAGTAAAATCAACCCAGTACAATAACTCTTAAACATGGTCCTGGAATTATGTTATCTTTCAACAACATGCAACCTATCCATAGTTTAAAGGTTAAAATTATTCATTATACTTACAGGACCAATGAATAAGATTTCTTTTACACTTGAGGTCTTAAAAAAATTTCTCCTGACTTCCGTGGCCACATTAGTTACTATGGTACATATGTGGGGGGAAGGATCCCTCTGGCAGGTGTGGAAACATGGAGGGGTGTGGCAGCTGCATGGGGTAGGCATGTGTGCCTATCAGGTGCTGCCTCAGCATCTCCTCGTACATGGCTGAGTGGAAGTGTCCTGCATACACGCCAGCCGGGTGGGACGTCAGCTGTACCTGTCCCTGGGGAGAGTGCATTAAGAGGTGGGGGTGGGCGTAGGGAGGGGAGTGCAGGTGGGGGCTGTACTCCGGCATGAGGAGAGGAGCTTTGGGCAGGTTGGGGTTGTAGTCCGTGATCATGACGTGGGGCAGCCCATCTCGGACGTCCATCCTTCGCGGAAGGTTGGGGTTATAGTCGGGGATGACTATCTGAGGGTGGGAAGAGGTGCTTTCCGTGTGGGACCGTGACACTGATGAGGTTGTTTTAGATGGGGATGTTGTGAGGATAACAGACGGGGGCACTGAGACAACTGCTTTTGTATGTGCAGGCCGCTTGTCGTCATGCTTGCTACCCGGTATGGATACTGTGACCTTTGACAGCCCTGCCTTATCTTCACCACCTGAACGCCCAGTTTCAGATTTGAGTTTGTGTGAAAGGTTTGCTGGAAGCCCTTCCTGCAAGGCAGAGAGATCTCTTAAGTTACTGCCCGATCGGTCAGCTGGTCTGTTGTCATTTGCTGCTGGCTTTGAAGAACTCTCCTCTCCTGACACCTTGGACTTGGGAAGACTGAGGTCAGTTGGTTGGTCAGAATCGTCGGCAGTGGAGCGTGAGGACCTGCTGGGCTGCAGACACTCACTCTGAGCACCCTTCTCATCTGGGAAGAAGGTCTGGAACTTGTGGCTGTAGTATTTGGCATCAGCGTTTTCCTTACCAAATGATGGTGAGTCTACCCGTGGCCGTTTTGTCAGAGGGTAGTAGGCTTCTAGTTCTAACTGACCAGCCATGGCTTGGGCAGCTAAGAGTTGTGACATGTAGTGGCGCTCTAGCTGCTCCGTGGGTGGCAATGTTCGCTTATGGCCAGTCATGCTGTTGGATGGTCGCATTAGCTTCTGGTCATGATCGCGTTGCTGTGACATCTGCCTCAGGATGAGGTCATCCGGGTGGATGGCACTAGTTGGCTTCACTTTCTGAGTGTGTTGGATCACTGATGGCCTATTGTTGACAGGTTCTGACCTGGAAACTGGAGGTGATCTTGTTGATCTAGTAGGGTTCACCTTGACTTCTGGGGCATTGGCCTGCCTTCTCTCTGGGACAAACACCTTCACTATAGAGCTCGGTGCTGGATTGGTTACAGCAGGACTGCTCTTCACAGGAATGTGTGTGGCAGGTTCAGGTTTGACCTCGGCATGCGCTGCTGGCCTGTGGTTGCCATCCTTAATGAGAGGAGGTGGAGGATACAGAGGCTTCATGGGTACATTCAGCCTGCGCTCACCCTGCAGGCGAGAGTTTGGTGTGGTAACCACTTTCCCCTCCAGCAGGGATCCCTGACTGCCCTTCTTGGTAGTCAGTTCTAGCACCAGTTCGCTGTCGCTTAATGTAGGAACTGTCTTTGAGGTAGTAGAAACAGGCACATGCTCCCTGGAGGAAACATATGCTGAAGCAGCCTTCTCACTGTTGTTGACAGAGACGTTAGCGGTAGGGCGGATGCTCTTCTGTAACGGTGCAATAGCCTGCGACGGCTGCAAGGGGGCAGTGCTGCGTCCTCGGATAATGTCCTTGTTTGCAGGTAGTGGCTGTGCCTTTCTTGTAGCACTTGTGAGAGGAGGAGGAGCCACACCTGGTCTCTGAATTTCAATGGCCACAACATGTGGAGACCCGGAGGCTGACCCTGCTTGCATAGGTTTCCCCACGTGTGTAGACAGAGGACTTGGGTTGACGTTTGGTTTCAGACTGGGTATGGAAAGTTTGACCAACGACTCCTTTCCATGAGCACCTGATACTGATACAGCATTAGAGGTGGCAACATTTGCTTTCGGGCGAGGCTGGCTGTTCTCCGTGGTACTGGCCAGTACAGAAATAGAGCCAGCCTTGTCTGGTTGTTTTTCCTGGAATGGAAAGAATTTGTTTTAGACACAATTTAACAAGCACAAACATACAAGTACATATGTACATCATCACAGTACATTTGTACTTCATCACAGCTAGTTGCAGTTTCACAAACTTGTTTGGGAAAAGCTTTATCAGCATCACCGGCAAATGTGCGTTATTTCCAAAATTAAATTGTTACATTTCATGTAACAGTTGTAACAAATATAAACTAAAGATTACAACATGGCAAGAGCAAGAATTTCTACTACATGTAGTATACATATACATCTTTTCAGATGATTTTTTACAACCTTTTAAGTCCTTTATCCTTAATCTTATATGAAAATAAGGCAACAAGCTGTTTTTTAAATCCTCTATAACAATATTGTATACTAAATGTGCCGAACTGCCAAAGACAAACCTCATTCTTCTTGATGAGGTCCTTTATCTTTGCCCTGACTGCCTTGTCCTCGGCATCCTTCTGTTTCCTGGCACGGTGTTTGATGGGAGGGGGAGGGATGTCCTTCTCACCTCGTAGGTGACGTTCAAATGGCATCAACAACCTGCAGACAGAAAGGCACTTCCATCAGAGCTCAGTAGCAGGAATAGTTAAAGCACACTTGTACATCAAAGTTACCAATTCACAAGAATTCCAAAGAAATCTTATACTGTAATTCCTTATTTTTCCATGGTTCACTGTTTTCACGGTCACTTCTGTGCTAGGAACCTATCATTACTGTTATCAATTCATTTGTCTTTCACCCCCCCTCCCTGCACTTGCCAACATGAAGATTGACTTTCGTGAACATGTCCATTTTCCTCAGACCATGAAATTTTACTACCATGAAGACAATGTGGATTACAGTTATGTTGGCAAATAAATATGTTCATGTATTGCTACACCATAATATATAAAAACACATTATCTACTTTGATGTGTAACATACTCTTCTGTGTATCACACACACACACTGCAATGCTACTGCACAAACACACACTGTAATGCTACTGTGTACCACCAGGGGGCACTTCAAATCCTACTTTGTACATGTACAACTGTGCAGCAGTGTCTTACTTCTCATAGTGTCTCCTTGTGCATGTGGCAGCACTTGTACTTCCTGGGTTCCCTCCCAACTTGTCATAGATGTGCTTCCACATCCGCTTCTCTGTTATCTGCAATTAGAAATACAAGTGATTGCTATGGGAAATTTTTAGAGGAACAGTATTTCAAAAACTTCTATGAATTAAAATTGTCACTGAATACAAATTCATTTTAATGTAGTACATATCGAAAACTTTGAAGAGGAATGTATCAAGACAAATTTCTAGGATCACTGTCATTAATGTAGCAATAGAAAAACTTTAATAGAGATACATAAAAAAGTAAAAAATAAAATGAAAGAATACAAAAATATTTGTGTCTTTTCATACATGAATTATTTACTCACCTTTTCATATCCTCCGATCTTCTGGGCCAAGGAGAAGAACAAGTACAGGTCAACTAGAAAGACAAGAACATTTCCATCAGTAAAACTGGTTTAAGAAAATCAGAAATCCAAAATCACCCCCCCCCTCCAAAAAAAGACAAAGCAAACAAGCGCAGAAGTTACCCAAATATGCTTTTGAAGAAAGGATAAGTTGATATCTAATGCCATGTTAACATCATTGTAAGGCTGAAACATCCCCACATACTTTGTTTGAAGCCCAGGCTGGGTATCCTAGAGATGGGCGTGCCTCGGTCCTTCATGAACTTGAAGAGCTTGGTGAGCATGGCAGCCTCCTCCTCCCTGTCCACCTGTTTGCGTGTGCGACTGTTCCCTTCTGCCTTGAGCAGTAACTTCCCGTCCCAGTGTCCCTATGGGCAGAATTCCATACATAACATTGGGATTGAAGGCAGGAATTGGCTAGCTGCCCAGGTGTTCACTCTGTAAACAAAGGTGCTTACACATGCTAGTATCTGACATGCTAGATCCTCTCATCTCTCTCGATATATCAACAATTTAATCTCTTGGTTTGAAGATTTAGCACAGGTCATTTGCTGTGCCACTAAATGTTTAATGGTGAAGGTAATACTAGTATTTCGGCACAAGCTTCTGATCACATAGGCTTCTGAAATGTCAGCAGCACTATAAATGTCTTACATGTCCTGAAGGATGGAAAATAGCAATCTTTTTCCAGCAATTGTAGTTCTACCTTACAATGGCGCTGAGCTGTTTACACAGTCCGTGGTATTGTTAGGAGACATAGAAATAGCATGGCGAACCATTATGTATCAGTGGAGAATAGCCTGAGGGTGTATCAAAGTAATGAATGTAGTGACATGCAACAAACAAGACATGCTTCACAACACCCACAACAGCATGTGACAGGTGCACACCTGGAAGTACCTGCATTATCCTTTCTCCTGGACCAGAGTGCAGACATAGAAAGCAGAGTTACTTACTCTTTGTTAGTAGGAAAATGTCAAAGACCACACAAATACGTCATTCAGCATGTTTACAAGGTTTTGAAATCTGTGGTGACAGTGTACTGTGATAGGAAGCAACTTGTTTATGTTTCAAGGCCTCAGAAATGAGGAAATGTGTAAGACAACATACATGTGGACAAGAAAAGTGCTGGGTTACTGACAAAACAAAGAACATCAAATGCATCAGGTTGCCAGTGTCTATTACTGTTATCAAGAAAATGACCACTAGACTTTACAAGTACATAATGTCAGACAATCTCAGTAAGGTAAGTATGTAGTTTACTATATGGCAAGAGACCACATGATAATAAAAACATAATCTTCTTGCAGATGAAAGTTAGGAAAATATGTCAACCTAATTTTCTATTGAGTATCAAAGCTGTAAAAATGAAAGAAATGGATCTTACCTTTCCTTTGAGACCTCTCCCCTCCCCACCGAGGACATGCTTTTCTCCATCCTTATGCTTCAGTTTAAGTCTGTGCTTCTTCCGTGGCCGGCCTTTCAAGTTGGGCGCTGCAAGAATAAATGACTTTTGTCAGCATGTTTTCAAAACACGTGGAAGGCAAATCTAAAAATAACAGTCTCGACTAGGGTAACATCATGGCTTTTGCCTTGTTGGCTTGTTCAAAGATTAATGCCATATGTTAATAGTGTAAGGCCACACCAAATCAATTTCACGGTTCTCAGATTCTGGATATGAATGAACCCCAAATTGCTCACAAAGTCCAACATCTAGACACAATGCCTAACAAGATAATATGCATAAATAAGGATGTCAACAACAACTAAAGTAACAACAACAACAACTCATATTTTGGCACCAACAGTTCAACAGTTGAAGAGAGTCCCAGCTGTCCTCCCAGTCCTAGTTTTTTTCTTATTAATGAATTGTTGAAAATTCACTGTTTGAAAAATTAATCTGCCTAGCATGGTTAAAAAAAATTGAGAACCCAGAAGTTGAATTGCTGTGGCCTAAATTGCTTTGAAATCCATACAAGCTACCGACAGAGTCAACTTTATACCCCCTGACAACCAGGCCACTGATGGTTGACAGGGAGAAAACTGAGACTATTAATGTTTAACCAGTAGATACATCCTAATTACAAACATCAGAGGGTGGGACTCTTCTCTTTGTTCTGTCAAGATTGCAACTTGAGTGTGTATATTACAGATACAAGAAGATTTTACAGAACTTCAAAAATACACATATCCAATGACATTATTATTTGTGTCATAGGCTTTCCAAACATTTCAAGTTGACATAATGAAATCATTGTAAGCTGTATTTTATCTGTGGCTCAAAGCTGATTACATATTCTACACAGCACCCTTCTCTTGCATGATTGGATGAGTAAATTGTCCAAACCAGCACTCCAGGCAGGATGTCTGTATAACAACTGAATAACATTGGTAGATCTGACAAAGGCTTTGTTAGACTACACATGAATTTAAGCGCTAAATGGTGCATGATAATCGACCTGCCAGCAGTCTGTATTGTGTGGCAGCCTATTGATCACAGAGGGGCAATTAGAAGCTGTGGGATCACTTCTGATACTATACACACCTGGTATGTCCTAACCTTTCACCTAAGCAAAATGTCCCTGAAAATAAACCTGTTTTTCTCATAACAATTACGGTACGTAATAATCAGCCGAACAGCAACACATTAATATTCAACTGTTCAAGTTGGAAAAATTTGATTTTGTTGATGTCTGCAGACTGTAATTAAGACTCAGTATATGATATCAAACGAATACAAAAGTATGACTGATTTAATTTTTGGATGTATCAAAAACAGTTCAAGTTGGTACACCTTTTAGTCCACAAAGTACATATATTAACATTTTCCAACAGAAAAATGAGCTGCATTCACGTGACATATAATGAGTTACAGACATGTCAAAGGACAGATCTGGCAATTATCACATGACCTACTAAGCATCAATAGTGAGTGACTTGTCTTGAACAATAAACCAAAGAGGCAAACCTCCTTGAATAAACCATTGAGGTATTCTCTATTATATATACTTCCACGAATAAACCAACCTACAATACAGTACATATTGGAATTAGATTTACAAAATTGAACCAGCAACTTTATGTGAAATAATTCATTAAATCCCAAATGTGTTTTGACTAGGGACATAATTATGTTAACACCAATTATAACAAAATCAAGTTAAGCTGTGGTTATCTGCAAAACTATACTTCCATTCAATGATAGAATGCAAACAGCCATGGGTTATATAAGTAACATAATTTTTTTAGTAAACATATAGAGTTATACTGATCTTCTATTGTTCAGATCAGTAGGGAAGAATTTTCTAGTTTGAGATGGTCCCTACTTCCTATGCCACTTTCTGCAGCAGAGAATAGTTGACCCCCCTGGGCTTAACTACTTAATCTTGTAGGGGCAAATGAAAACACTTATTTTCTTTGATAATGTTTCCATGCAAAAATATTCAATGACTATAAATAGAATTGTTTGTAACCAAATTGATCATAGCGAAAATTTTATTTACAGAAGCCGCTGGCTTTTCATGATTCTTGTAGTGTGCACATGATGTTTGTACAGCCTGAACGGCCTTTGTTCTTGTGTAAATTGCTTGTGTTATTTGAGAACGCTCTTATCCAACATCGCCATGCCACATTATGCCACGAACCATCTTGACTTTACTGTCCTGAGTTCAGCTATTTTTAACAGTATACTACTTACAGCAGTAATATTTGTAATATGATGAGGAATATACAAGCAGATGTTCAAGCGATTAAGCAACATTAATATGATATTTTACAGAAAATCTAAAATAATATAATGATACAATGTCTCCCACAGGGATATGGTTTAATTACCCTCTACAACAAAGGCCTTTGTGAGCTGGCAGGGAGTTAATCACTCAGCAGAAAAATGTGTTAGGGGAGAACCATTAAATTTTCAGAGGGAGGGAGAACAATACCTTCAAGACAACTACATGCTATGAATACCCAGGGATTTGCAAATAGAGCAGCTATTTCTAAGTATACAATATTACAGTGATGGTGATTAAATGTGTTTGTTGAAGACAGGAGGTATAGAGCAGAAGAACTATGTGAAATGACACACATTCAACATGACAGTGATTAATTCTCCCCTTTGACCTCTTCTATGCCCTGGACTTCCCACATGGGCTCATGCTAATGTTTTCTCAGCAAAAACAGTTCTATGTAATCAAATCTGTTACAACTCTGTAAAATATGAACCTGCATGGCCATATCATTTATACAAAAAAGTTTGATTCAGGAGAAGGTGCTATGTTGGTGGATATTTGCAATTAATAATTACCATATTGTATTAGGTTTGTACCATTGCAACCTGGGGGTGTACTGGATCTTTTGATAGACAACATATCAGTATTTTCCTCATCTGTATTACATGACTAATATTTCAGGTGGAGCCAAAATGCCTACAAAGTAATTCTAAAAAAATGATGCCAACATTACCTTTGTATATTGCACAAAACTGATGCAAAACACTACACTATGATGAAATCCAGCTGTTCATAATCAAATGACATTTTCCAGATACAAGATTACAGAAAATTACACATGACAGTACAGTAAAATTAAGAATTTCGACAATAATGAGCGAATTTATGTACCCCCAAAATATCTGCAATGCACAGTTACATAACGTATTGCTGTGTCAAGCCTCAAGGTTGTTTACAGACATGACAGGAAAAGGCATGTGTAACAAATTAGTCATCCCTCTGTCCCACTTTCACAAGATCCTATGGCCAAAAAAAATTGAGAAAAAGCAACAAAAGCAGGAAACCCATAATGAACAAAAATTTGCACCTGAATTATAATATTTAATGAAATACAGCACTGTGTTTCTAAAATATATTTCTTTTTTCTTTTAAATGCCTGATCAGATTTGATTCAATGGTTTAGCGATATACTACTGTTTTGGAAAAGAAATTTGAAGAATACAACTCCAACCTAAAATACTGTTACTATGTAATAAACAGAGAGACAAGGCTCTTTTTGTTGACTGTGGATTGGGAAATAGCTCAACAGATGATTTATGTTCAGCTGGGATCACAAGGACACAAGAATGTAGCACAAATCCTTCCAGGGGAAAGTACAGAAAGTTCAAAAATATTTCATGGTGAAATTTCAACAAGAATACACATAAGCAAGGAGCTTCTTGACATAAGGTATTGCTTGTATAGCTTTTTTAATAACAATGAAAACTGTGTTGCACTTAAAGTGTATCGCTGTTACATGCTGCTATATTAAATACTTAGCAAAGAGTCCCTACATTTGAATTGGAAGACCTCCACTTATTGAAATGGTCCCTTCAGGGGGATTCAAATTTGCTGCAGGTCAGCAGTTTATCATTAACCCAGCCCTCTGGAGAGCACCCCCACCCCCAGCTGCTTTATTCCATGGGAAGTATAGGCTATACACATGGTTTTATTCTTCCTTACCAAAATCTTCTAGCCTCAGACAATACGAAATACGATCCTTTCCCTTTAATTTCATGTAGGATTTCAAAATATATTAGGCTGTCTATAATGTTCAGTAGACTTACTCCTGTGGGAAAATTGTATTGTACAGCAAAAATGATCATCAGAAATTATTTCTTAGTAGGAATATTAAATCCCTCTGAAATTTCAATTATATTCCCTGGACCCAAAACAACTAATTACCGTAGAATGATATATCATTATCTGGGTAGCAACTCAATATAGGCTATTGTCTATCAATCATTTTCAAAAGAATGTCCAATCATGAAGCACTCAATTTTTAGGTTTACATGACCTGAGGAAAAAATGAATACCCGGTATCCCATGGCACCACATGCAAAGGTATAAAAAATTTGCCAGTTCACGGTACTGATTTTCAAAGCATTCCATTCTCCCCACGTCCTGCTGGTAAGTTAGTGCTTAATGATCTCAATTTTACACCTAAGACTCTAAAGAGGGATAAACCGTTTGTTTTCTTTTCCTATAAGACAAACTGTGTTTTATCTCAATTGAGTTTTACGACTCAGTATATTGTCTTACTCAGAATTACATTCACTTGATGCAGAATGAATAATTCAATTCCATACTAATCTAATGACCTAAAATTATACCTTCACCTAAACACAATCAATACAAGATTTCTATCTGGAGGGTATTTCCTGGGAAGCAAACGTCATTACTTAGGTCCATGCAAATATCTCAAAACTTTGAAATACTTGTTTGAGGCTGTACATGTATGTTTGGTCAAGGGTAGAAACTATGCAGTGGAAGCTTTCAGTTACACGGTTGGAGAGCGTTACCCACACATAACACAAGTATGTGCCTTGTTGTTATATGAGCCACCCTGTAGTATTAATTAAATAAATGATATATTTGAACCATATTTCATTATAAAATTTCATTATGTGATATAAAAAAACATCACTATTTCTTATAAGCTTACTTCACTATATCTGCCATTATCTGATGTGAAGACAAATATTTCAATCTCACTAAATAACATGATGGATCCTGATTCTGGTTCAGCTGTTAATCACTAAAGACTGAGCTTCCGGTGCTACTGACCAAATAAAGGTGGCATTGCTGCTCAATTCACACATGGTGAAATAACAACACTTCCCAGACAACCACTTGCATGACTCAGAGGGGACATCCTGCCATAATACATCTATAACCTTCCCCATTCTTGCTCATAGTTCTTGCCTTGTCTCATGGGGACAAAGACAACTAAGACTTTCTGGAATGGATGGGGAAAAATACCATCTGTAACCTCAAAGGCAATTAATTCAACTAAAAAAGATATACAAAATTGTTTGCAAAAAATTCAGACCAGAGTTTGTAATGGTAACTGTGTGACCTTCTCCTTTCAAATGTTTGTAAAGTACTTGGATTGGAAAAACTGTTATTGACAGAAAAAAGCTGACTGTTGATATGCAAATGTGTGGTAGATAATTTTCAAGTGAGTTATAACTTATAGTTATATGTAAGAAAACATGGATGTACATACCCAGCTCATCACAGATATGTGGATGGTCGTACAGATCGTGATGGTGGAAGCTGTCCTGACAGTACATGATGTGTGTTTTCCGGACAACGCTGAACCCTCCCAACGCGGCGGATAGCTTGCTCCTCAGCCATGGATTGGCTACTGCTGCCAACCGTCTCTTGATGGCGCGGAAGCGACAATACCGCGGGTAGCTCAGAACGATCATGCTGGGCTCGTCATCACTTTGTGCTCCTAAAGAAATTTTGTCAGAACATTTGTTGGACATGGGAGCATTGTGGCTATAGTATGAGTGAGTGAGTGAGTTGTTGGACAGTGCAACTAAATGGAGGAAATTGAAAAAGAAAAGAATGTCTACATCAGGGGGTTCAATTTCAAACTCCATATAACTAATATACAGTATCATATAAAACTGTAAAAATAAAAACCATAGCAAGTATCAAGGACATTAAAATGTACTAGTATCTAGAGCAGAAGTGGTAAGGCCAGTCCAATGAAAGAAGTTGTTTTTATAGAGTTGCAATAACAGATTAAATCAGTTTTTCAATCAATTATAAAAAAACATAAATATATGACATAAAAGCTGTAGCATTTTTACCTATTTCTTGCCTTTCCTTTTGTACATCAGAGATATTCAGTGTGCCGTTGAGTGAGAAGCGCTGTATTCTCTCTGCCAGGCTGCCTGTGGATGGGACCTTCCCTGTATCCTCCGGCAGGACCACCAGACCATGAGGCCAATTTCTCCCACTGCAGGTCCAGGAGGCCAGGTCCTGCACCCTCAGGATCAGTTTCTGGCTAACAGCTACTACCTCATCCTAAGCAGTAAAAAATACAATACACATCAAAATAGAAAACACAGTCTGTGCCATGTGAACCCCCTTTGATAACAATGGAATGGTCCGCCAACCAGATCAAACGATACAGTGTACTAGCATGTATGGCAAGTGTTAAATTCTACAGGCATTTTATTCCAGCCTATTTATAACATTCTAAGATAAAATCTTGTGTTACTAGTACTACAAAGCATCCAGCAAAAGAAAGGTTGACACTATCTAGAAAATTACTGAACAAAAGACACATGTGAAACTAAAATAAGGTGGTTCCTGTCTGGAACTAATTGTGTGATTAGTGTTTCCTGTGCTTACAGACAAAATGAAGATGACTCATATACAGACATGCATGCATTCCAAATATTAGTATCGATGGGCAGTGAAGGCAACAGGTGTGAAAAAGTCACTTCATGTAGTCCTCAAGTGCTGGTATTTTGTCTTAGCCAAAGTTAAGACCAAACAAAAAGATAAATGGCATGTAATGATAATTAAGAACAGGGTTGCACGAAATAAAATTTCGTGAACAGTGTTGACCAGAATTAACTGCCGAACATCGCACACTTTCAATTTGAGATGAATGATATAATGTTTACACTTCACAGGATAGCGATATCATACCGAGCAGGCCCCTTCAGAAGGTCAGAATAGTTTCTCCCATTAAACCAGCCAAACAAAACCTCCTTTGGGCACGGATCCAATTACAACAGAACAAACAGGCAACCTTTCTCCCTTCTTATCTCATTTAAAATTCACACATATTCCTGAAATTTCACAAAAATTCTCGTCACACAATTTGAAAGAAATATTGAGCAATTGTGAGACAACAGCTGTTTGGTTTATTGGCCCACAAAAAAGGCCATACTCAATTTGGTATTTATTGTCGTCAGAGGCAGTGCACCAAGTATGTAATTACAGACCTACATGCTGACAAGAAGGTCCCAGATACTATTACACCAGGGTGATTGCCTTTGCCTTATTACATTTCACTCAACTTTTGTCAAACAAAATTCCCTGACAAAGAATTGACCATTGTCCCTTACACAAACAACAAGCAAAGGCGCACCCGTATAACAGTCAACAGTTGCAACATCCACACAAAAAAAAAAAACCTGCAACTGAACTAGTATCTGGAATGTGACAAAACCCATACATGTGTACTATACTATGTAAAATTATATGCTGCCGATAAAAAGTGGAAATAAAATAATTAACAACCTTGTTAAAGTGCCCCTAAGCCATGAAGCATATTTGTCTCTCTTTTGTCCTTTTGTTATTCAAATAGCAAACGTTTTTCAACACACACAACAGGGGCAAGGGTGGCAGCAGGCCACTAACCCATTGGTAACAAAATAAAAAAAATATTCTATTCCAAGGTGAAAAGACAGGAGTACAGTCAGCTTTATATCCATTTTTAACAATTTGAGGCATTAGTAGATAACAAGAGCTGGGCATGGAATGTGTTTGCATAGTAGGCATCTTATGTTGACAGTCCACCCTTTTATTTCAGCTGTCTTTGTGGTGCAAACAACCATACCCGCCAAAAAACAAAGAGCAGTCTGCCTTGTTGAATATCCACAAATATTTTGACATGGCCAAATGATGAAAATACTTCATATATTCATGATTTAATAGTTGTGCCTGTGTCCCAGGGGAAATTCATGCTATATCTGGGGACAAGCTATTACCATATCATACACATTCATGCTGGAATGTAACCTGGGCAGTAAACAAATAAGTCCTCAGAGGTATTATCAAATAACATACTTCGTGACAAACCGAATTTGTTTCAATCCATTTTTTTTCTTAAAGAAACATTCAACACTTGAAACATTGTTTATTTTATTTTTAACTTTTGAGTTGAGTATATTTCCTTGGAGGTGATAGTTACTAGTACCAGTAAATTATGGAGAAGACATTTACAGAAAATATAATTTAAACAATGAAAAATGTAGAAATACTTTCCCAGTGTAAAATGTTTGCTACATAGAATTATTACTCCAGTTGAGGCTGAAATATTCAACAATACAAAAATACTTGAAGGAACCGACATGTTCGCTTTGAAATTATAAATTTTTCTACCCAAGACCTTAGCCTTGCTCTAAAAAAATTGAGATCTGAAAAAATACTAAACAATAACAATCTGCTAAAAAGGCAGCATGAATTATTACCATTTCCCTGTTTACAATGAATTTGTTACGGATGAAAAAGAATTCATGCCATGTTAAAACAACACATTGATACTTTGCCATTTCCTCACAAAGGCACAACAGACAGTATTTGGTAAAATATTTTGGCTAACTATAAAAGCAGACTGGAAGGAAACGTGTTTGCTAGGAGTCTTGAAAATTTGAAATTTGTCTTTGTTACAACCAAGGAGCTTCAGAATCAGATAGAATTATTTGAAGCTCCTTGCTACAACTAAATAATTCTTCCATTGTGTACAGTGCCAACTTGTTTAATGATGTCAATTCAGAGGACTGGCTCAAAATTCATTGTGTCCAAAAAGGCTTTTGATTATCACTTATCTCTTTATCCACGTCAAAACTTTTCCAGGGCTTTTGACATTCCAAAACAGAAATTGAGTTGCCTTGAGAGTTGAAAAAAAAATCAAACCCCTGGGGGGTCAATAGCTGGGCTAGAGCTATAACAAACAACCAGCAGATAATGTATTCTGGGTTGCTGAGTTCTTTTACAATAGAAAGCTGGTCCCAGAAGAGTACAATCAGTCCATAAATCAACACAGCCTTGTCAAACAAACTTGTTGGAGAAATTTCCAATGGCAGCTGGGAAAATTATAACTAGAAAAAAAATAAATTTCACTCATAAAAATGCAGAAACAAACAAAGTGGAGACGTACAGACAATTATAGACAGAAGAGGTAATTTATGCGGGCTGGATTTCAGTTTCAAACCAACATTTTCGGGGAGTATTTAATAGTAGATGACGATTTATTTTTACCTGGCCATGTTCTTCATCACGTCCCTGTGGTGTGTCTTCAGGAAGGAAATACAACCTACTACTGGACAGCAGTTGTTGGTTGTTATGGTCTTCCCACAAGAGCTGCAGTTCACCCAAGCACAGCGGAGCTTCCGGTTCATATCGAAGGAAGAAAAATTCCCCAAGAGACAAAATTCTTGGCTTTCCTTCGTGGGAGAATCTGAAGGCCTTGTAGAAGGTGTAAGGTCCATGCTGGCCACAGGAACTACCAACCCACTGCAGAAAAGACATATTCATTTTCAACCCTTATCTCATGAATAGGACTTGTCCAAAACAAGGGAATGTTGCACAAACACAACAGGAGCCAGGGAGGAACTCATAGGTTCATCCAAATGTTGCAAAACTTGAAAAATCTACTGTAGTTAACTGTTATTTACTGCGAAAAAATTCCAAAGGAAAATAATAGTTCCCTTTCATATCATTTACTCCTCAACGATGCTTAAAATATCAAAGTAGAACTTAATCAAAACACTTTGGTTGTGTGCCAGAATACACAATTTCACCCTAGTGAGTAACTTCATAGATAATTGGTTACAGATATGAAACTAATCGTTCTAATGCCATTACATTACTTTTCGGCGCACAGTAAGCATTTTTCAACCAGTTAATAGACTAGCCTGTACTTTATTTCTTAATTTTTAGAAAGATACACTTACTAGAAATTCTTCAAATAAGAAACAGCTTGAACCAATTCTAACCTCGTGTTTTATCTATTTCAACTTAAAAAAACATATGTGTTTCGTGATCCCGACATGAAAAACAGCAAAAGAAAATTGTTCACAATGCAAAATATCATGAAAGACAATTTCCGAGATACTGAATACAGTTGGCTAACAGAATCTGCAACGATCCCCGTTGGGTGCTCCACAAATAAAAACTTGGCATCACCTTTCAATATACAAATCTAAGATGAACACAAGGCATGATTACTACAGGATTCTTGAATTATTTTAGCAGGTATCGTACAAGGGACTATGCGAGAATATATACGTGAATAAATAGAGTAAATTTCGGCACAGTAGAAGCAGTGAGAGTGAAGGAATGCGAAACAAAATTTTACACAACAAAGGTCACCGAGCGTTCGATTCGCTACACAAACATCGCAATACAAACCGCGCCGAGATCGCTTTACAAAATTTAACGTTACATCCTGTCTACGCGGTTAAAAATTCTGTAACTAATATCAATGGTTTCCTACGTATGTCAGAAAATATTGGGGCTAGTTTCGTACCTGGAAGTCCATATTTTGGGCGATTAGTCGAGGATTTCACATGGACTCAAATTGACACCTTTACTCCCAGATCGTCTCACCGCCTGTTCTGCGTTTGGAACCGGCCCCGTGACGTCAGCTCATTTGCATAATCACATTTCCCCTCTGGAATGAATCACAATCCATCACATTCAGACAATCAACAAGTTCCCAACAGGAAGTCGGCTGGTTGGATAGGGTTTTACCTGCCCCGTAGCACAATTTTCCATTGAGAGGAAGAATTCTGTTCCATTTTTAGACAAATCGTAGCACGTTTCGATGTTTTTTCTTCTAATACAATTTCTGTTATTGCAAGGGATAAATCAATATCCAGACCATCCATTATGCCTGCTTAAAAATCACTGAATTTTAATTATTGAAAATCAACAGACTCAAAATGCTGTTTGTCACAATTACAGACGAATCGATGACACGGTTCTACAAGCCAAATCTTTTATGTAAATTTTGCTGGAGAAGTGGGGAGAACAGAAAAACATGGACACTTGCAAAATATCTTGTTGGGAAAATAATGCTGTGTAGGACAATGTGACCAACAACAATATAATTCGATTAAGATAATGGACTTTGGGTTATTAATGTTATTAGGTAAATAACACCATGCCTTGAATTTTGCTGGGAAAATTGGGAATCGATATTACATCACACATGATGTATCATGTTTCGGGATTCTCATTCAGTTGGATTATGGTGTGTAACGTTAAGTATAAAAGGAAGTCTGACTACATCAAGATTTAGTGAGAATTAATGAGAGGGTATGCGACACACAAAAATTGTTTGCTCCAAATATTTGTCACTTCCGTCCGGCGTCCTGGACGCCACTTAAAAATATCAACTTTACAGGTAAAGGAAGTCATTTGCATATATGGCGGGTGTTCTTGCCGAACAAAGTCCGAACCCAATGGAGGGTGAACCCTTCTAGTGTTACATTGTCAACAAACATGCAGTCTTGCCCTGCTCGGTGTCTAACAGGCATGCTCTTTGTATTTGTCAAATGGCTAACGTTACCCGATGAATGAAGAAAAAAAATATTTTGTTTATTCCTCTATTTTTCTTTTTCTTCACCAGGCAATCGTGGTGTACTCCAGAAATTGTGTGATCATTCAAGCCGGGCTTTTCAAGTGCCACCAACGACGAGTGTCCACATTAAAATTCAAGACAGATTGTCGTAGCCTTGTATTGTGTTGGTCACACAAAGAGGTGCTTTATTCATTGGGGTTACGATATTCGGTAACCGTCTGTTTACATGCGCGGAAACGTCTCTTAAATGTCGACACATTATGCTTCCGAAGTTCACCGTTCCAATGGACAGATACCAATGCAGACAGAGAATTTTCCAATGGCAAATAAATCCCTGAGTTTGCACAATTTTGGGGATGGATCACATGATATCCCGGGGATGGATGCACATCCATCCCATTATGAAGATTGGGAAACGTTCCCCATGGTTGTCTTCTGTTTTATTGTCTGATATCTTGTCCTATTTGATACTGTTGGGGCGTGTGACAAAACAATTAAATGCAAATTTTGTAAAGATCTCAGCCATGTGTCAAACAAATATCACCCAAGCAGCATTTGGAGTACAGGCTTCTGCGCGGTGACCCGTGAATGGTAGTGATATCTTTATCCAATCGCGCAGCAAATAAAAACGCCCAAAATCTGTCACTGATTGACAGTTGCTCCGGGCTAGAGGCCCTGTTGTTCATCTGTCACTCTTTGTTGTTTCACGTTTATAGCATAGGATAATGGCATGCGGGGCCTTTCCGGTACAAGCTATTTCATTATTTTTCGAAGAGTCGGCAGAAATTTAATTTATTACGAATATGTATGAATAGAATGAATGGATGTTGATCTTTCCAATTGAATTATATTACATTAAAAAAAGTTTTGTCTTTTTGTTTTCTATCAAATAGAACCTCTTTGGTAAACTTGATGTCTCATTGTGAATCAATAGTTCTGTAAAAAAATATATTTCGTTATTACCAACGCTAGAATCCATATAACGTATTTTCCAAGGTTACAGTGTAATATAAAATCCATGACATCTTACTTGAATTACTTATCCACAGAAATTTCTATGTCCTTGCAAGGAGGTTCTTGCTTATCCTCCTCGTCCAGTGGCATATGGTTGTGATAAACATAATGGAGTGGCGCATGCTAATGCGTGCAGCGACATCTGGCGGAGAGAAGGAAACCCGGAAGTGTAGAGGGGAACAGAAAGGTGCGGATCTGTGTGGACGTGGACTTTGGATGCTTCCACTCCTTTGGCCTCCGCTCCACCAATATGTTGTAATTTGTCAGTACACTGAAATTATGGATAGCAAAGGACAAGCACAACAAGGCTGATGATGCAAGACATTTATATCTTCATTTCCGAGACCGCAATGACCCGATTTTAATAGCTTAATGTTTCCCGTGGAATAGACAGACTTTCGGTCACAAAGTTCCCCAGTGCCCCATTTCCCAATATTTTTTTCGATAGTTGCAGGTTCCAAGTCGGTAACTGCGCCGTTTGCAGTCCAGTTGACAGGTAAGTACGTCTATAATGTCAGGAGAACCGGAATAAGTAGGAGTTGTGATACGGATTAATCGTCAAAATGATGAGATTACTAGAATCAGGATAACGGTACGGTTTGTGTCACATGTACCAAGGAGGTTATAGGGGGACCTCCTATAACCCTCTAGTCATTGCATATACCTGACAATTGTGTGGTGGACATACTAGTACTGTATATTATTCATCTGATATTTGCATCGTTTTAGAATTCTACTTGTGCCATTCTTGCATTTGAACTTCATCATCACCATTTGAGATGCATAACATGAAATATCAGAGGTGAAGTTGTCAACATCTTAGTAAATCAGATTGACAAACAATACATGTAACAAAGTGGGTTGTCCATGGCATGCAGAAATGCACCTGATCATAGAAAGTACCCTGAACACCTGTGATGACAAGGTGACCCTAGATGTCCAGGAGCAGGACTCTGTGATTGACACCATCTACAGGTTCTGTAGACACAGGAACGTGGACCCCAGGATTGGTGTGTTGAGGAATGAGAAAGGACAAGTTCTGAACCCAACATATAGTCTGTCACTGTGTGGGATCAAGGATGGGGATACTGTTTACCTCGGGGAGCCAGGTCAGAGTCCTTAAACATGGAGATACTGCAAAAACTTCTTCAATCAAATACACAATCACAAGATTGAGTAATTCTCAAACCATCTGTTATGATGTATAATCATTTATTTCTTCATGTTGCTGTCATGAACAATACATTTCATACAATTCAAATTGTTTCAAACAACATGTATTTGTAGGACAATGTTATTCAATTCAATATGATATGAGCTCAAAACACACAGGCGGGAATCAGCCATTAAAACAAATAAAACTGCCCTAGTCAATTGTCCCTTTGCTCATGGCAAATTCACAAATCAAATCCATCAAGGCTCCAGTTAAGTACTAGTAATATTTAGTGAGTATTTGTGGAGAGATTAATTCATTTAATTAGACAAAGCAATAACCTCTGACCTCACGTGACTCATAGGCCGGCTTCTAGACTCAACAATTACATATATTGATTTTGGTCGGTCTAAATTCTCTTCGCAAAAATATGAGGTCACCTAGTTAACTTTGTCCCCTGACTGTCGTTCACAGACATGGATGAGGTTCCAGCGTCCAGGTCATGTGACATCAGGTGCACGGTCATCGCTGCTGCAGCTGTGCTGATAGGAACTATCGGACTGATTGCTGTGTGTGTGTCTCAAGGCTGGACCTCTAGTCTCAGTGATCAGGTAAACTGGACAGGGCTTTTTCACCTTTTATACTACTGGTATGTGTTATATTATATCATGCATATCTCTCACTACCACTAAATTAAATTTGCTAATCAAGTTTGCTCTAGGTGCTTTAGAAGAAGTTTTCCATATATCTCAGTAAAGCATTAAAAGAAACAACTTTGCTTTCCAGTATGGAATAGTGCTGGATGCAGGCTCCACACACACACAGCTGTTTGTGTACCGCTGGCCAGGCCTCCGACGTAATGACACGGCAGCTACTGTGACACAGGTAGCATCATGTAGGGCAGAAGGTAAATCTTCAGCAGATTCTGCAGCTTTGCTCGAAATCTTCACAAACTCAGGAAATAAAGTTACAGATGATGTGTGAATTATTAGTTCCTGATACCATATATCTTATATATATATATATCTGTATTTCAAAAGCACTATAACGAGAACTGTTTTGTTTGTTTTACCCATTTTTATAGTCAAACAGTATAAAGGATATGCCTATAGCAATCTTTTTTTCAGTTCTGTGCACTTTTGACATTGTATCACCAGTAATGCAGTAACAAGCTAGCCCCAAACCTCCCTGCATCCTTGTGTTTTCATCAGGTCCTGGAATTTCGGGCTATTCTGATGACCCTACAAAAGCAGGCCCCTCATTGGACAAGTGTCTCAGTACTGTTGCCATGACAACAGTACCCAGCCATGCCCGGGCAGACACGCCCATCTACTTAGGGGCTACAGCAGGGATGAGGCTTTTGAGGTAGGCAAGAATTGGAAAATTTCATTGTATGGTCTTTTCATGTAGTATGAAAATGTCAAGTTGAAGTCCTTTAT